ACGACCAACTGTCTCCTGGAGCCAGTATGGACGAGGTAGTGAGTAATAGACAGGTAGGCACCTTGTCAACATGCATATCAAACTCAGCCACACCGGGGATGTCAAACAAAAGCTGATCACTTGCGTTGACATTTTCACATAAAATATGTCTGTGAAAGGATACAGCTATACCGACATAACGCTTCTCTAAATTAGCATATGAAGTAAGTTGGTTAGCAACGGGCCCGCGATAAATACAACTTGTTCAAAAGTTACTCAAAAATGCTACAAGCGCAATAAAGTTAACGAAGATAATCACAAAAAGCGTAAGCAACGTGTGCAAATTAATCGATTATTCGGGTAGGCAGAACAAACCAAATAAACTGGAATGCAATTTATACAGCTTAAAAAGTCCTAGTTTAAGGTAAGTTGGTTTAGCCTAACTGCGCTGAAGAAGCACTATGAATGCAATATCAGCCTCGGCATTGGGCCTACTTACATACACGTGTAATAACACATAGAATGAGTGAAACTGGAACTCTGATGCCAACGCATTCATCGTCATCATCATCGTTATACACGTTAAATTGAGATGGTTGACACCTCAGCTATTGTGCCGCAATACCTGAGCAAACAAAAAACATGCATTAGAGGTACGCGAGTTTTACCATCAGTAACGGACGGATTGCGTTCTGGAAGGCTGACAGCTGGATATTACGCCGCAAGAGAAATTCATCTTATGGGTAGGAAATGAGATCGTGATTGGAAGGGGTGGTAAAGCGAGAGGGGGAAGGACGGAGAAACGTGCAATACTAACGCCGCTGAGGTCGGTTTATAGACATATCAACAAACACATCCAGAAAACGTATTCATCGTCTTTCGGACCCCAACCAGAGAGTCGAGAGGCTCCAACCGCGGTCAGCTTCGAACGAAGGGCCTTTCTTCCTCTTGACTAACCCATCGCTTGGCCTCCCTTCCTCTCCTGGCGTGCGATCAACGCACGTCGCAGGAGTCGGTGTGTTGGCATGCGCAACACGTGGTCCAGCCACCACAGCCTAGTGTGTGGCATTCGGATCGAGCGTTTAAACATATCTGCTAGTGCTCTTGTGTTAGGAGTTCACCACTAGACCGAAGTAGAGGAACTTATTGGCTGTAAACAGTGATACACTTATCCAGCTAAACTAATCTTTTACAAACTTCGACTATGATGGCTTTTTGATCTCCTGTCATTCATTTATTCCTTGTTCCCATAAACTCACTTGGATTGGCAAATCAAAAATGAAAATGCATGTAATCGCTTAATCTTGGTCGGAACGTCTCTAAATCATTTCTGCCCTCTTCGGTCGTTTTCTCACTAGCGGCGGTCAGGACATACAAAAGTCTTTTCGTGTGACAGATCTTGACATACTGATTCATCAGGACGTCTGTGGCTTGAAACTTACGGGATCGGTATCAAAATAGTGCATTCAAAACTTGTGACTCTTACAGAGAGTTTTCGGACGATTCGACCTGTGTCTTCCACGCCTGATGACTGCTTACAGAATCTTTTGCGCTGTGTATGCAATCCAATCCTGAAAACAACAATATACACAGAATCTCACCCTTTGGGGAATTCAGCAAATGTGGACTCCAGAAACGGATAGCTTTTGTATCCTTATCCATGCGAACGAATACTGTGGATGTTAGGGGCTTTCGGCGTAGTGACTTTGTTATGGTTTCCCAGATTGTACTCATCCCTAAGCATGTGTGTTGTCAAATGTTGAATCGCAGTCATAATAGCTATCACAGAGGCCACTGTGCTAAATTGACAAAGGAGCACAGTCCTTTGGAGACTCATCGAAATTTCCTTTCTCCGCGTGTTTGCTACATCTTGAATATCTCCGAATTTGTTACCTCTGCCCCTACGTTATCCGTGTTCAAACGCTTTGTCCACAGTGCACTTGCTTCTTTGCACTACCTCACGTAACCTACAAAGCACATGAATATCAGAAGGTTGAAATGCGAAAACTAACACTCAGTACATTAGGACTGTCAACAATGGTAGCGCCGTTAATGGCACTGATTTTATAAACCATTTCGTTGGACACCACTTTGATCTGTAATTTCACAATTATTCGCTTTTCTTGTTTTTTTTGCGAATCTTCAATCAACTATCCGGCGGGGCATGTAACCTTCAACTTTTGCTATCTCTATATGCTGACTGATCGCTTGATTCTTGCATGTGTTCACCTATTTTGAATTAACCGCTTGCTCTAAACATCATCATTCTCATTTACTCGATTACCCACGCTTTGGCATCCGTTTGAAACAATTGCACATTTTATTCCTACTGTTTTTAAGGATGATGCCTTTCTGAAAATTGCTGAATTGTTGGTACCATGTGCGTATTCGTCGATTACGTTGGTGTCCGGCTAAGCCCGCAACCAATGGTTCGCAATGGGCTAAATGAGGCTGCCAATCTTATGGAATCACAACCTTTTGACCTCTCCGGGTTGTTGTAATATGCTATCATCCTTTTTGTACCACCCTTTACTACGAGGTAGCCTTTGGTCCTTCCTGGATTATAACTGAAGTAGTGTTGAGTGCTGCAAACGCAGCACTCCATAACTCCCCGGCTGGTGATAGCAGGAGCTGGGATTGGTACTAGGAACTTGTGATTGGCCGTGGACTTATACACCGCACCACAACCGAACTCCGTTTGTGACTGCGAGTCCAGTAACAGATACCAAAAAGACAATGAGGAATTCTTCACGGGTACGACGAACATTGCTGTCAACCCATGCATCCCGGCTTCGAACCCAATGCAGCCATTGCTACCTGTGGATTGCGAAAAAAGAACTTGTCTGTTGGATGCAATGCTGTGATAGAACAGCCCAATATTTATCTGTAACTAGTTTGCGTTCGTAGGCTTGCATCGTGTCGTAAGCGGTAAGCGAAATGTGCCTTGATATCGGCACACAAATAGGTGTTGTCTGAATACAGATTTCGTAAGTTATGTCGACTAATTTTTCGTTCCGAGGCCTGTCAGCTCTAGTTTAAACTACTATGCTTAATCCCCTTACACCGTTGCTGTTAATTTGATGGGTCCTGAGTGACCCTGGGCTTTTGGTTGTGTCAGAGGACAGCCTTGTATTGCAGTGCGTTCCATCAATGTTTAATAACTTATGTGTGGAGGCTCACCAACCCCCGGTTAATGCGGTGAAATAGCGCGCTCAGTTTATGTTAGAGGTATCTATTCACCCCATCCAGACTACTCCTCAGTGGATAGATGTCAAATGCTACTGGAATCCACACTACCACACACGCACCACACGCGAGCTTGTTTATCGTGCTGATTCAAGCGTTCGCGCCCCGTGCCTTGCTTCTGGATTTCGCCCAGCCGAAGCTTCCACCATTGACATCGATTCCTCTCTGAATTCTGCTTAAGAGGAACGGTGCTGGTAGTGATTTGACTTTCGTTGCTTACGTGCAACAACTTATATAACACGAGTTGCAGTTCATTGCGCCTGAGCGTTTCTACCGTAGTCTATTCCCCGCCTTAATTCCATGTTTTCTCCCTCGGGTATCAAGCATTGCTTAAAAGTCCAAACCGGTTTGTCACGGGACACACTAATAACGAACCGGCACTCCTTCTCCTTACAAGCCATCTATGTTCCTTAAATCATTCTAAAAACCCTGTAGTCCACTGACAACAGGCTACTGGAATTCGATTACGCGGTAGAATTTCGGCTGGGATTTAGAGGAAAAACAATGCTATCTCTATAAGCGTCTGAGGAAGGAGCTATCTTGAATGGATTCGCAGAAGTTATGACAGCTGCCCATGGAATGAGACGCAAGGCGATTAAGAAGCTAGGTGCTCAAGGGTTCTTCTGCCTTAGTCGTTAGTCACCATTAGGAAACATTTCGGTTTTATTCCAATGGATTCACATTGTCATGGTGGATAAACACCGATCAAGTGTTCCAATAGATCCGTTTGAGTCGCATGGTTTGGCTAGGTTGTACATCCTAAGATTTCCAAATCCGTAACGGCAATGCCCCATGCTGGTCTACAAGCTTAGAGCGGTAGCAGTGCGGATTAGTTGTGGCCATGTGTCATGCCAATAAGCACAGTTGGGGATTAAGGACTTAGTCTATCTTCCATTTTGTTTCCATGCTAGGGTTGAAGCCGCGGTGTAGACGTGACCGAGTAGGACTCGGCAGAAATCATGAATAAGAGATGAACTTGTAGGCTTCGTGCACCATCTTGTATTCGTCTACAGAGTAGATATAGCGTGTTCTATACATTGGTATTTGTCATCATCAAACACTGAGTGGGAGCGACTATGTAATGCTATTCTCTAGTTCATTCCCACTGTTCAACCGTGTGGATACAGTTGTCATGTCTCGCATGGCCAGTACCACAGAACGCAACATTGATGGGAACTGGAAGCGAAGCTGCAAGGGGCATATGGCAAAAAGGAGCTGCAAGCTTAATCTTGTCTATTTGAAGATTCAGCCATATGGACTTTCACCGTGCGACGCAAGTTATCGCATAATCAAATAAACCGTTGTCGAACAGCTTCATACGTTAGTGCTCTTTTTCCCTCGGGTTTTGCTTGGGTCATACCAAATATATTGGCATCTCCTAAATACGCGGACTCTAGTTACATAGAAGTGGTACACCATTTCATTTACGTCTTTTTACTGCATTAGCCTAGAGATCACGATCGACAATTTATGCTGAATTTGCTGCACTATGTTTACGCTGCAATTTTCTAAAATTCTGTCTAATGCTTACACCTGCTGTCATATGTCGCACAAAAATCAGCTACATCATCGTCCGAAACCGTTCTGTTATCGACCAAAGCTAAAATGGCCATTCACACCAACGCTGCTACCTCATCCTTCTGACTACTCGATCCCGCTCGCACCGTGCCATGTGCAGGGTAAAGGGCGAGAACGCAGCCTATCAAATCGGTCTCTTGCTCTTCATTCCATTGGCGGATCCAGTACGTTGACCTCAGGACATACGTTAAGGTGATTGGCCAAAATTCACTGTAGCTCTGTAGTGTGGCTTCCCCCACTCCTAAGGCAAAATACGTGTAGGCTGCTCTAGGCATGACGACTGCGGCGGAGATGGGGCCGTATGTGCCCTAGTCAGTCGGTTTATCAAGCAAACTCAGTGGTCGCTGCTTTGCAATGAGTAACAAGCGTACACGAAAAAATCTACTTTGGATTACCTGCTTCTGCGCACAGTCCCATGCTGCCATCCTGGAAGATGCAGATGAAAAACTCGTTAGTTTTATCCAGAAAGGTAATTTGCCTAACATCGAGCGTGCCATCAGACGGCTTGGGCGCCCTCTTGGGGACGTTTCACTGGTTGTCAAACGTCGACACCTCAGCACCGCTTATCCTTGCCTGGTAGATCACCGGGCAGCCGGTACAGATCCGTTCATAAACTTTTATCAGGAGTGCTCCCCAGTTATTTGGGCAATGGATTGTTTACAATGGCATGTGCTACCCTTGCTTAACCGATACGGATGCGATGTTAATCGTCCTCAAACGTGTCGTCGTTGGACATACATTTGCGCACCCAATTCACGACCGAATACTGCGCCGTACAGGCGCTTTTGGACTCGTGGAAAATACACTTATCAGTCCGCGTTGGATTACTTTTTCGCCAGTGTGTACGAGTTCGTCGGAGAACAACCATCCAGCTACAATGGGCTCAGCGGCCCGAGTCCGTTGGCTTTTTACTTCTCACACTTGCCTGTCATCTTATCCAAAGGAGTGGATGTGCATCGTATTGATTCTGTGATCATCTTCAATTCCCTCGCCACCAGTTATGATCAATACTTGTGCCGGTACACTAACGAGCACGCTACTGTGCCGGATATCCCCGAAAGCGATGATGCTTTCGTCGAGATGACTGCTGTAAAACGTCTGATCGAGCACGGTTTTTCTCAATTCGAATGCATGGATTATTTATACCCGTGTTGTAACTGGTTTGGTATACTACTTTGTCTCGTTTGTCACCCGAAAATTGACAGTTATCGACATAATTTGCTACCATCTATCATACGACAAGCAGCACTACTTCTAATCAACTTGCTCGCTCTCAAGTGTACGCTACCGTCTGTTGAAGACTTTGCAGAATCTTTGGAAAATCTCCATTTGCGGAAGGTGTATTCGAAACGGTACTGTGAACGTCGCGAAATTTTCAATGATCGACTCGCTAATTTACACCGTGTGTGCCAAGAGGTTAGCTCCCATCCACTAAGTTTGAAAGTTCTCGCCCGAAACGCTGTACGCAAACAGCTGGGTGGGATAAACTTCCACCAAAAACTCAATTCCATTGGGTTGCCGCCTCAGTTGGCAACTTTCGTGCAGTTTATAGGCCCGGAACAGTTGAAAGCCAGTCACATGCCGAAACAACTTACTCGCTTGGCCCTAGGTGAGTTTACCGATTTCTCCAGGGATTCATTCAATTTTCGTTCCAATGAACTGGGTGAAAACTGCTTGACTTCCTCGCCCAACCGCACTGCCATGGTTCATCTGCCTCCCCTTATACGAGCTGGGCAGGGTGATCGAATGGTTGATGGGTGTTCAACCGACCCACGGCAGTTTAATTTCACTCAACCAACTTCCCCGCTGCCCATGTGGTCCAGGCAGTTCCGACGAGATCGTGCCTCAGAAAGACACGTGGCAGGGCCGAAACGGCTTGACGGTGAGTGCAGCAGGCAGCCGAACGATACCACTGCGCTCCTCCTTGGGCGACCTCTGTCAGCTTCTTTGCCAGTCTTACAATTTTGGTGATGAAACAGCAGTCTGCGGTTCATATTGACCTTCTCAGGGTCCGATGAGCTGGAACATTGTATGCCGGCAGTCTGATTTCATGTTTTGTCTTAATCTTTCTTTTTTTATACAATGTAAGTTTTTGTTACCTTCATTTAGTCACTGTGTGTGCGTACTTTTGAATAACTAAATGAAGTGCGTATACAGATGCCGGAGAGAAATCGATAGATCTTGGCCATTGCAGCCTGACAATTTTCGATCGAATTTGGCACTGTGATCACTTTACTTCTCCTAGCCTCCCGCTATTTCTCTGTGGCAACATTCCTCTACTGTTCACCGTTTGTTATTTGTCTACCGAAGTCCGATGGACGCTAGATATTTGATTATAGGCGTATCTTCCTAACCAGATGACCGCGCCTTTCGCTTTTTGCACATGCTGTGATTTCCCTCGTCTTTACCACTCGGTTCCTAATGTAACTTGTCTGTTATATCACTATTAGTAATGCATTTGCTCTTGGTCCGCTTTTTTCGTTCGGTGTAACTGTGAGTTGAGTCACTAGATAGTTACATGCTGCGCAATTCTCATAGCCTCCTTGCCTAAAGTTTTGCTGTTTAATACTCCTTGCGAAAAGCAATCGTTAAAATCGTCTAGACTGTTACGACACAGTAGCTGAGGTATTTTTCACTAGCTAAGGTGCACATCGAATGATGTCCAGACTGTAAATGCCGGCGGGGGGATTTTTCGACGGTGTCCTAGACGAAGACTAGGAGAGAAAGTGATATTCACCGAGAGTTGTGCGGCACTTTCAATGGTGAGTGTTTCCGAGCAGATTGAGATCCACAGGAGGCATTCAGTAACGCATACCGAAGATTATATCGCTGAAAAATTCAGAAAAATGCCTTTTGCTTTAAATGCTGTAGAGAACAGTTAAATTTGAATACCAAATCATTCAGCGATTAGGTTCACCTCACAACAATAACTCCTGTTTCGGTTTGACGTCGGACGATAGCACAGCGTAAAATATGACGCCAAGGGATACGCACGTATATTTCCGACAGCTAGTCAGGCAGGCAGCAGAGCGCACAATTCGCGACACTGGCAGCAAGCAAGATAGAACTACGTGAAGATGAGCCTGTGTATATCGGCAGTTACTTACAACAAGCCGCACGTGGACTGCATCGAAATAGGAAAGCGCAAGTATAAAATAAGCAAATTGCAACCGTTACACGCTCTAGCGTGTACTAAGAGACGCTCGACACACTAACTACGGAATGTAGTGAGCAAGCTTAGACACGAGAAACACGATCGGAATGTTTATGTATAGAACCGCTCGTGGCTGAAGCGTACAGAGGATTCGAGGTACTGGCGTCAGTCGGTTGTTTGGTAGGGGATAACTCATCATCATCATCATTATGCACCTTAGTTAGAGGTGTAACACACAGTCACTGTGCCGCAATATATAGAAGAAAACAGAGGATAAATGCAGCAGTTGCATGCCAGCTGAGTTCCCAGAAACGAATGGACATCGTTCCGGAAAACTACTAAGCAAGAAAAATATTAATATGTAAAATTATATTACGCTACGAAATGAGATCGTGTTTGGAGGCGGAAGTTAAGAGGGATGGGGAGGGACAAAGAAACACAGCACGAACGCCACTGAGGTCCGCTCCTAGCCATATCAACAAGTGTATCCAGCCAAACGTGTTCATCGTCTTTCGGACCCCAACCAGGGAGCCGAGACGCTCTGAGCGAGGCCAGCTCCGAAGTGAGGGCCTTCATTCCTCTCGATCAAGTCTTCGTTTGACCACCCCTCATCTTCTTCCATCCACACCCTCAGCGCGCAAACAACACACATCGCGGAAGTCGGTGGGCTGGCATGCGTAACACGTTGCCTAGCCATCGGAGCCTGGTGCGTGAAATAACGGTGCTGAACTGTTCACTACCTTTTTCTGTGCCGTAAACAAGGCATCGAACACGCTGGTTGCCAACTCGTTGTTCCCACCAGATGTGAGCTGAATTGCGAAGGCACCGGTGGTCGAACGGAACTAGCCTCTAGGTCCGTTGATCTAAAGAGCCAGATTTCACAACAGTACAGTAGGGTCGAACGTACCGCTGCATTGTACACTCTACCCTTCAGGGCGAGAGAAATGTCGCGCCGCCGCCATAAGTGGCGAAGGTTAGCAAAAGCGCCCCGAGCTTTTGCTATACGATTCGTGATCTCATCTTCGATCCTGTTAGCATGAAATACGCGATGCGAACAACACAGGACCCCATCACCGCGGCAGGCGATCCAAACTCATCCGCCCTGATTGGGGTTAACAGAGAGCCAACCGGGTGAAGCGGCCAAGTAAAGAGGGGGCGGCGTTCCTTTATTGGCTGTTGGTTGACCTTTCCAGAGGTTTCCACGTTCGCTATAAATACCATTCACGAACTTTCCATTTCACCTTTATACTACACTGTGTGATTCGCTAATATCATCCCTGTTGCTCTGCTCGTCCGATCCGGTTTCCTCTCTGTCTTGTGGGGGGCCAGCGACTTCGGGTTTTGATTGGGAATCAAGCGTTTATTCAAACGAGGGACGAACACTTCAGCTGGTGACGGAAGTGGGATCCTACTCAAGATGTCCATATCGGCTGACGAGCTCAAGGCCATTCTGCTTCAGCAACAAGCACAATTTGAGACATCCCACCTCAGGCTGCTCGAAACTCTTATGCGACAACTCTGAATCCAGACTTCTTCACTGTCTACAACTGTCAAGCCGTCCACATCAGTAGACGCCATCACTAACAGCATTACCGAATTTTCGTACGACCCTGATGCTGGCCTCACCTTTGAATTTTGGTTCAATCGTTATGAAGATGTGTTCCGCGTTGAAGTTGGAGACCATGATGACGATTGGAAAGTCTGATTGCTGTGAAGGCAACTTGGAACAGCAGAGCACTTCAGGTATGTCAACTTTACTTTGCCTAAGAACGCTCGAGACTGCACTTTTCAGAAGACTGTCAAATGCTTTGGCCAAGTATTTGGAGAGCAGTCATCCATCTTCAACAGGCGATGTCAATGCCTGAAGATCACCAAGATGGACGCTGATGACTACGTCACTTACACTGGCATCGTCAATCGCGAGTTCGAAAACTTTGACATCAAACCCATCACAGCAGATCAGTTCAAATGCTTGATTTTTATCTGGGGCCTACATTCCCCGCGGAATGCAGAGATTCGCACCAGGCTGCTGAGTAAACTTGAACAAGGCCAGCAAATGACTTTACAGACCACAACTACTGAATGTCAACAGTTGCTGAACCTGAAGCATGACACTCTTATGCTGGAGAAGCAACAACCAACCCCAAGTCTTAGTGTATTAAAAACCACCTCAAAGAGACCGCTTCCAAGTGAAACAGACCATGAAAAGTCCAGAGAGAGAATCCCAAACCCCGTCTGCCAGTTGGAGATGTGGTGAGTGGCATTTCGTTCGAGTGTGTGCATTCCTGAAACATGTTTGCCACAAGTGTCATAAACGGGGCCATAAGGAAACGCACTGCCGATGCAGACCACAGTTCAAGCGTGCTAGACATACGCGACCGCATTCAATTGTTCCCAAAAGATTCAGCAGCTATAGTACGGTTCAAGCGGCCTATTCGGATGAACATTTGGCTCGCAGAAAGTACATCAGAGTTCACCTGAACGGGCAACAATTGCGTCTTCAGCTAGATACAGCCTCGGACATCACAATTATCTCCAGCAAAACTTGGAAGTATATTGATGCTCCGTCAACCAGCCGAACGACACATGTTGCACCTAACGCTTCAGGAGGTCAACATAATCTCATTGGTGAGCTGCAGTGTGAAATGGTTTTTGGCGCTACTCGGGCAAACGGTGTCGTGCACATTACGGGCCTGTCACATTTGAATCTGCTTGGACTCGACTGGATCCAGAAGCTCCACCTGTTCGACATTCCTCTGAGTCAAGTCTGCAATACCCTCCAGCTCGGATATACGAGGCCCTCTTCAGGAGGTGACGAACCAAACAACAACCTGATCGAGCATCTACGAAGGAAATTCCCGCCTGTGTTTCGCAACGAATTGGGAAGACACATAAAGACCAAAGCAAGCCTTACCCTCAAAGACGGTTCAAAACCCGTATTTCGACCAAAAAGACCGGTACCGTACACTGCGCTTCAGATTATTGACGCGGAACTTGACGGTTTGGAGCGGGCCGGCGTCATCCAACCTGTGAACTATTCAGCGTGAGCAGCACCTATTGTTGTCGTCAAGAAGATCAATGGAACCGTTCGTATCTATGCTGAATATGCTACGGGATTGAATTCTGCTTTGAAAATGCACCAGTATCCTTTGCCGGTCTCAGAAGATTTATTTGCTAAGCTCAGTGGTGGCGCTTACTTTGCAAAGCTAGATTTATCAAATGCTTATCTTCAAATTGAAGTCGACGATGCTTCCTCTCATCCTTCAAGAGAGAGTCCCCTGACAATTTTATACTGGCCACCCAGGAATGAATTGCATGAAATCGCTGGTACGAAGCTAAGGGTATTGGCCCTATATGGATTCCCAGATCGAGAATTTAACGAAGAATTGTCCCCGATGTGCCAGTGTATCTAAACAGTCAAGGAAGACGGAATTACAATCCTGGCCAATACCAACGGAACTATGGTCAGGGATTCACGTCGAATTTGCAGGTCCAATTGACGGTCATCATTTTCTCATCATTTTCCATGCCCACAGTAAATGGCCTAAGGTGATTTCAGTGATGAGAACCACCGCAGCAGCCACTGTCTCCGCTCTCCGACAGATATTTTCTCGTTTCGGTGTTCCCCACACGTTGGTTTCCGACAATGGAACACAACTCACATCTGAATTTGTTGTCTTTTGTCGCAGAAACGCGATCGTCCATGTAAAGTCTCCAGCTTCCCATCCACAATCGAACGGGTAAGCGGAACGCTTTGTGGATACACTCAAAAGAGTCTTGCTACAAATGAAAGGGGAAGGTACCTTGGAGGATATTCTTGACACATTTCTTCTGACTTATCGCACAACTCCGAATTCGCAAATACCGGACGCACTACCTCCGGCTGAAACTTTGTTTCAAAGAAAATCCGTGTGCCGCATGATGCCCTCAGACGCAGGAAGGATCAGTTACGGTCCCGTGATCGACGGCTGTCCACCAAAAACGAGCGGATTCCGGCGCGTCGGCTTCTTATCCTCTGTCTGGAAACCAAGAAGACTGGGACGCGATCACGAATTCATTCATTAAATTTACGCTTGAATTTCTATAGACTATACCTTATTCACGACGGTCCATCTCAATGGCTCATCCCTGTTATTTGCAATGTGTCTCTGGCTCCCATTCCACTGGTTTATGCTTGCTCGCCACGTTCGCTTTGTCTAAAATCCCCTTAGCATTCTTAGTGGATGTACGATTGACGGGATTTAGTCCGCGAGCTTCTTCCCTTGGTCCAATGCCACAAGTCTCGGCTCACTGGTGCACGAGTATGCACTCCTTCGCC